TCCGCTATCCGCTCCGCCCACTTTCATGTAGGTATATACAGGGTGTTTTTTTGGGAGCTTTAGTTAAAAGTTTCTGAGAAAGTAAAATAGGTAGGTTTTTGAAAATTTCTACTTAGGAGTTACTCTGAAGGCCGAATCGATGTAAAATATTTTCAAAATGGCCGCACTTCCGGAAACACCGGAAGTAGATAGTAACTTCGTTATTTTGCATTTTTGGATTCTACGTGAAATTTCAGTTCTTTTGATACCCATATGTCATATCTGCCATTTATGGTTTTTAAGTTATTTTGACTTTAAGAAAAAAAATGGCGGATGCAGATGGTACCTTGATAATTGATTACTTGAAAACGGTTGTAGTCATGGCAACCTAATTTTATCAGTGAATAGAGAATGAATAGGGCTTTCTTTTAGTGCACTTAAAACAAAGTTAAGTTGCATACAACCGCACCTATGGAGATCCAAATTTAAGAAACTTCAAAGTCTATAAACTCCGTTTTTTTAAATGGAATGACCATGTTCTTAATATTGCATGAGATAGAGAATCGAAATTGGCATATTTTGACTATACATGTTTCTATAGCTATCTTTAACAGTTTCTGATTTATTCCCATTCCATTGAATTGATCTCGGAATTGATGCCATTTTTTTCGCATTTTCTTTTTAGTAGTTGGCCATGATTTTATAACAATCGAATTTTAAACAAATCAAGGAATGGATTCTTTAATACCATTGATTCTAGTTCTAGTCTAAATAATTCATTAATAAATAACTCATTTATTAAGGATATAGGACGGAAAATTTTTGAAAAATCTAAACAGAGTCGTTCAACTGAATTTCTTAAACAAGTCTGGAAATTAAGAGAGGTAATGTGATATCTGTTCTAGCAACAATTCCATACCAAAAATGTTTCAACGAAGTTTTTTTATATTTTGCATTGAATTTAATATGTTAATCTTGCATTTGCAATTCAATTCATTTTCTTAAATATTCTCTTGTAGAGCTTTGTATCACTTGTGCTTCAACGGTTTGTAGTGCATTAGGGGTACAAAATTTCTAAAATTCATACAATTTCGTTCCAGTTTTCGAATGAATGTAAGGAAAGCACGCGCCGCGATTCTGCCCATTTCACCATAAATAACAATTAAATTCCAAAACCACTGCGAGTCATTTTTCGATTTTTGAAAAACTTATGTTAACCTATAACAGTGGGTGATGGATTAGTGTCACTAGATTTGTTTAAAATTCAATTGTTAGAGAATCATGGCCGACTACTAAAAAGAAAATCCGAAAAAAATAGTGTCAATTCAATAAAATGGGAATAAGTCAGAAACTGTTAAAGATAGCTATAGGAACATGTATAGTCAAAATATGCCAATTTCGATTCTCTATCTCATGGAATAGTAAGAACATGGTCATTCCATTAAAAAAAAACTGAGTTTTTAGTCTTTGAAGTTTCATAAATTTGGATATTCATAGGGGCGGTCGTACGCAACTTAACTTTTTTTAAGTGCACTAAAAGAAAGCCCTATTCATTCTCTATGCACTGATAAAAATAGGTTGCCATGACTACAACCGTTTGCAAGTAATCAATTATCAAGGTACCATCTGCATCCGCCATTTTTTTTCTTAAAGTCAAAATAACTTAAAAACCATAAATGGCAGATATCGACATATGGGTATCAGAACTGAAATTTCACATAGAATCCAAAAATGCAATAAAAAATAGGGGTTGCCATTTAAAATAACGAAGTTACTATCTACTTCCGGTGTTTCCGGAAGTGCGGCCATTTTGAAAATATTTTACAGCGATTCGGCCTTCAGAGTAACTCCTAAGTACAAATTTTCAAAAACCTACCTATTTTACTTTCCCAGAAACTTTTAACTAAAGCTCCCAAAAAAACACCCTGTATAGAGAGCAATTTTGGTTTTGGTTAAAGTCTAAAGTCACTAAAATCTAAACATTCTGTAGTATTCAGTATTCACTATTCAGTGTGTGATCAGTGTTGGCAGTCAACGATTTGACTATTCGGTATCGATCGGCAATTCGCTACATTGGTGCCCAAAATAACAAATAGGTATCAGGTACTTAGTACTGCTACTGAGGTGAGGTACCTGCGTCCTGCCTTTCACGAAATGACGAAAATAAGAATTTTAAAAACAGGAATTTTTTTTGCCCATAACTTTTGATTGAGACGTCTAATCGAAAAAGTACGAATCGTTTTGGATTCTACGCACCCAAATTAATAAGCAAAAGTGTTTTCCCGTGAAATTTTGGTGCAGTCGATTTTTGTTAAAAAAAGGAAGGTTATAACACTGCCTTTTCTTATAGAATGTGGCCTGTAGAATCCATAATTTCAAACAGTTCCAAGATTGGGCTATTAATTCCAGCCCTTTGAATTTTCTTTCGAAATTGGTCTATAACTTTTGATTGAGAAGTCTGAATTAAATGGCCGTTCAAAATGTACGGAGTCTTGCAAGATCTGTAGAGCATTTGTAGTTTAAAGGCCCGGTTTTTGAATAGATAGTTTAAATACAATAAGTACTAGTGCGCCATCTCCTTGGCAATAGATACACTTTCTATCAAATATAGTTTTAGAAGTGTAGTTGAGATGTCGCCACGTACGCACCTTTTAAAATTTCATTTGAATTTATGCGATTAATAGCAACGTCGCACTTATTATTCCTTAAATGGCAGTTCAAAATGTAGCAATAGCACTTATCTCATTACGGTGTCTTTCATGTACTTAATTGGGGAGATTCAAGCAAATCCTTAATTTGAATATGGGCACTCGATATTTGTGTAGCCTGGTTTGTAGGCAACACATGATGCTCAATGAACAGAAAACATTTACTTTTGCAATTCGTAACTTCTTATGCATAGGAGTTTATTTAAAGCCCTTGGATGAACAGTTTCAATAACAGGTACATTAAACTGAACCGTTTTACAATAACTTTCACACGAAGATCGCACAAAAAACACATTTTTTCGTGATTGCAAACTGCGTAATAGTTTTGCCTTATTTCGCTGCCAATTTCACTACCGTTTCCATAACAGTAGTTCTATCAAATAAACTCTAGGCTCAATTCTTTAAAGAATAGCTTCGCACCATCGGCAGCTGCTGCAATCATGTAATCGTTCCGATTTTAACCTTGAGAAGTTTGAATTGCATTAGAATGGGTTTTCTGCGAGTTCTCCATGGTGTCCTCCTGTTTTGGTTACAAAGCATTTCCCTTTTCAATTTGTGTTGTTTGAATTCAATGCTAATGTTTCTCATCCATCGAGAACTACATGTCTTCGATTGCACGACCCAGAGCGAACAGTATCATATTCCGCAAAGCTCGAGTCTGCCGCTTTCCTGTCACTCCCAGAAGCCAGTTCCCTAATTTAAACCTGTAAGCGAGAAAGGAATGATAACAAAGTTTAATTTTTGACTATAAAATAAACAAACATTCATTTATGCATTTGAGGTTAAAACTTCATATATCTATGGAACATATATATTATATATATGCTATGGAAGCGTCTATGGTTTTTAATAAGAGCGCTCTGACATCTAACGTTAGTTACATAAAGTACATTATAAAATTAGTGTGGCGACATCTTTGAGGTGTAAGTTACAACTAAAATATTGGTGGTAATAAAGTGTCCTGCATTTAAAAAATTTTCTTTTAGAATGTGACCTGTAGAAACCCTAATTCCAAACAGTTCCAACATCGGACTACTAGGTGAAAAGTTACAGCCCTTTGAATTTTTTGTCGAAATTTGTTTTTTGTCCATAACTTTTGATGGAGACGTCTAATCGAAAAAGTACGAATCGTTTTGGATTCTACGCACCCAAATTAATAAGAAAAAGTTTTTGGTGCAGTCGATTTTTTGTAAAAAATGAAGGTAATAACTGCCTTTTTTTGCCCAGAAAAAAAAATTGTCTCGGATCGACCGGAAAAAAATATTTTCTTATGGATGTGGCCTGTAGAATCCATAATTCCTAACAGTTCAGTTATTATTCAAAGTTTTCGTTGACTAATTAAAGCAAAAGCAATAAAGGGGCCTGTCAGCAGTAAGAAATAAAATACCGTTCTAATCAAATCTTTTTCGCCTGTACAATAATAAATAGATAAATGACTACCAGCATCAGCAACCTGCAACCCAATTTCTATTTCTCCCCCCCCCCCTCCCCCTTCTAGTACGCACTGGGTGACTGTATATGCCACGAACTTGTTTGTTCTACGTACGCCACTACTGTAATCTACTTAGCACAACAAAAAGCTGCCAATAGGAGCAGGTTCAGTTGGTGGAGACACCAAATTGTTAGGGGGTAGGCTCGGGGCCGGCGAAGATTCAAAAAGTAGCACCCACAGTACAATTCATTGTTATATTTTGTCGCGATTTGTTTTTACGTAGGTACTTTTAATTTTGTCTCAATTGTAAGGACTCTTTTCTACATATTTTTAATGTTGCGTAATATGAATGCGAATATTAACCTAAAGATCTGATTTCATAATGTCGTTGGCCGCGTCTTACGGTATTGTGAATGTCAAGGGAATAAAACTTCTGTGAACTTTTGTGTTAAATAATACCTCCTTCCCCCCTCGCACCCTTTTCTTTTTAGTTGCATAGGAAACCACAATTATTAACTTTATTCATTTTGTATTTTGCGTTTGGTCGCCGTGTAATTGATTTGGCAGGTAAAGTTTAATTCAATTCACGTTTTTACGCATTTATGTAACGTCCAAATCTTATAACATTTTTTGTTATTGCTCCTAATCAACAACAAATTATCAAAACCGGGTGCATGACGTAATAGGATGCAAAATTATTAATCGTAAGGGTAAAAGGCAAGAATACAACAGAAACTGTTTAGGTTAGTTACTCTTTTAGTTGACATTTATCATTGTGGGAATGTACAATCACTGAAACGTAGATTTCTCATTACTTATGAAACACTCGATACAATAGGAGGTTTGGCAACGATGCGCTGCGCGCGCCGTCGGTCAAAGTGCACCTAACTTCATTTCTAAAAATATTTCGACTTCGACATCTCATCATTTGAACTGTCGTTGTAGGTGAAAGTTCTCAAAAGTTGCGATTTTATTTCGCTAAAATTTTTTCCATTTTTCCTTTCGTATCGTTAGTCAAACTTAGAAGTGGGAAAAATGAGCGACAGCACCAGCAACAACACGGAAGGCACGTCACCACCCCAACCACAAAGGGGTTTAAATATCGAGGCATTAAAACAGCACGTACTATCACACAAAATTGATGTTGCACTTTGGGCCACACGCATTTTTACAATCATGTTTACGATGGGTTATTTTATTCCTGTTTTTGGGTGAGTTACAGTGATTATTATTAATTTGACCCAATTGGTGTGAAAGTGCCACTTTCTATATTTCAGGAATGCACACAGCTCCTACTACAAAGCTCTCTTATCAAATGCGGCGACCAGTGCTTTAAGATTACATCAAAGATTGGGACCTGTACAGTTTTCGAGGGTATTCGCGGCGCAGCTCTTAACAGAGGACAGTTGTCACTATTTATTCTATTCGTTAATTTTTATTTACGTCGCTCCGATCAACAGTATCCTTTTTATGCTTAACCGTTAACGTGTTGACTTTTTCCTTAATAATGTTTTCAGTGGTCATTCTTCCGGTCGTACTATTTGCAATTTTGCACTCCGCGAGTTATTCATTAACTCTTTTAGATGTAAGTACATTCGCTCAGGCAAAGTTCAAGCTTTTAAATTTCAAGGTTATCAAGAATGTTAATTAGTGTGAGACTGAGAGTATGATACAGAATTATGAGAACCTTTTGCAAAGTCTACTATTAATGTTGTACTTACAACCTTTTAATTTACCTGTTTGCGAATGTTTCGCAATGTAATGGGAGCATTTTTTTTTTAGAGCCTGGGTCACAACGCGTGGTGGGGTGCACGTCTCCTAATTTCACTCGTGGAATTCCAATCTAGGAACATTTTACGACTAATCAGCCTTACGGAAATTATATTAATGCCTTTTTGTGTCTTCCTTGTCTTGTCGTAAGTATCTGAGGGGTTATCCACTACTTAAAAATGTGTACATATCAAATTAGCAGACAGTGAGCGTAATACTAATAGTGCTATTAGGTATCGATACCGCCACTGTTAGGTACTACTTGTGGGTGACGTGTTCGTAGTCATTTAATGTAGAAGACTGTTCGTTAGTGTTTGAATTTTGTGGATTTTTGTTTAGGGGGTTAACTATGATGTGTGTTCATACAATAAAACAGATTGATGTTAGATAGATGGGACAGTAGGCAAGTTCCTATATGAAAACATATCCTTGCATGATTCTAAACGTTTAAGGGCATATATAAGATTTTTATGTGCGGTGTTTATGTGTTTAACACTCTAGAGGCCTCCGAGGAGCTTTCCAATTCTAATATATTATAGGAGATACGGGCCCAGTAATGTATTGGACCAGAACAAATATACAACTTAATTTCCTGAATTAAAATTCATTATACCATTATAAATTTAATGAATACAATTAAGCTTATTTGATACTATGTGGTTTTGCCAATTAATCAACAATATCTAATACTTTTATCAAACAGTAGAAACTCAGTTAACCGAAGTAAAGGGAACTGGTGGCGTTTTAGATAGAGCTTATTTTAAAATTCTACGTGAAACAAGCGTAGGAAATGTAACAATATGCTTAATAAAATGACGTTTTTAATACATTGATAAGTAGGTATGTACAGTGTGTCCTATTTTGGTTGAGACTGCCATGTATCTCAGCTGTTTTTAATGATAGAGACTTAGGGATTCCGCGACCCTGTGCCACTTTTTGGTGAAACAGAACCAATGTAGCTACGTTTGTTTCTGAGATACAGGGTGAAGACGAAAAGTTTGACTTTTTGGAATGTCCAACTACCCATGTAAGATTGACAAAAGGTAAAAACTGTACATTTTAGATATTTTTATGTAGAATGCAGTGGCGTTGTCAAAAAAATTTTGAGATTTGACAATGTTGGTATTTTTTAAATACAACACCCTATACATGGTGTCCATTTTTTTTGGGCCAACGCTGCAACCAGACAGATGGATCAAACTGTCAAACTTCTGTTCAAAATAACAGAACGTTTTTTTCCAAAGCACTCTTCACAAAAAATTAAAAATTGTATTTTTAGGAACCACCATGTGTAATATATCGTTGTAAAGAGAAAAAAAGACGTAATCTCAAAATGTCAAAATTTAAAACGGCGCCCATAAGAAAAACTAAAGTTTAAAACGTGGCACGTGTTTCTCCATCATTTAAAAGATATTAAAAACGGGATGCCATATTCAAAAACTCAATTAAAAAGTGTCTGAATAATGTGTTAATTAAAAATGTTTAGTACGATTAGTTTACCATCAAAAAATTAAAAACGAAAATCAGAAATTTTCGTTTTTTCGCGATATTTTCAAAACTATTTAAGATATTTTAAACTTATTAATTAAAATTATTCAGCACGAAATTTTGCTTCTATTTAATCAACTTTCTGTCTCTTAAGGTAACTCGAACAATGGACACTGTGTATATCATAACGTCAATTATTTGCATTCGTTTTTCTAATTACATATTATATTTTCTTTATACTTTCAAAAATATCATAGTTTTCAAAATTTTCAAATGACATTTTTCTACCGTCAGCCATTTTTATTGATTGGTATCGGCTGCCATGAATATATATAAAAAAATGTTTCAAAACCCACTTGTGGGTGTAACCGTGTAACACAACTGTAAGTGATGAGTAACGGGCAAATATAGACCATAGCAGCTATCAATTAATGAAAACCCGAAGTCTCTAGGGGTAGCTCAGGAGCCGAGATCTCGATGGGACAGAGACAAACAACAAAAAATCGAGCACATAAGCGTTACCTCAAACTTTGTTGTGTTACGCTAAAAACAAAATCTCCATGAATCCATGGCCTACTATTTAAACACTAAAAAATAAGGTTTTTATTTATGGTTCATGATTAAAGTTTAAAAATATATAATGTAATCAGGAAAAAGAATGCAAAAAATTGCCCTTTAGGTATACAGGGTGGGTCAAATTTCAGAACGGTAGTCCAAACATTTATTTTTACTACGTCACTGGATTCTACGTAAAAATATCTACAATGACCAGTTTTTACCTTTTTTGTATCTTACATGGGTACAAATTATATGATAACATCTGAAACAGTATAACTTTTCATTTTCACCCTGTATCTCAGAAGCAAAAGTTGCTAGATTCAGTTTGTTTGTGGTACTAAAAGTTCCACAAAAAAGTGGTACAGGATCGCGAAAACAGCTGAGATACACTGCAGTCTCAGCCAAAATGGGACACATGGTACCTATATAAGATAAAAAAGGGTAAAAACGGTTCGTTTTAGATATTTTTGCGTAGAATCCAGTGGCGTAGTTAAAAACAAATTTTTAGATTTGGTCTAGCGTTGTTATTTTTTAAATGCAACACTCTATATATCTTAACTTCAATTTTATGCATTTGTTTTCCTGATTACATTTTTATATATACATTTTTTCAAACTTTTGTAAAGACATGTTTCTACCGTCAGCCATTTTTATTGATTAGTATCTGCTGTCATGGATACAATAAACAAAACAAAAATTTCCATAAATCCATGGTCTACTATTTAAAAACGCTTAGAAAATGGAGGATTTTATTTTTGATTCATGGTTTATTTATTGTTCCTCTTGTTCTGGGCTTACAGAGTGACCCGCATAATGCTTTTTAGAGGTGCACTAGCAGCAACGGCTTTCCAAATGCGAATCTTTGTCAAATTCCATCAAGAATTACGCGATACTACTAGCTCTACTGCGATCAACACGCAAATTAATTACAACAGACTAGACATCGATTATTCTGGTTAGTCCAAAACCCAAATGAACCCTAAAATCTCTCCCCACAACTAATTCCACCTATTATCTTCAACCTTTTTAACATTATCTGTAACAACTAAGTCTGACATGTTTTTTAATTGCGCCAATTGGATTCGTTATATTCACGAAAGCACAGACTAACTATCGAAATCCTGCTGAGACTAACCTCCTTCTGATCAGGAGAGTGACCTAATGTTGAGCTAGCAATTGTAACCCAATAGACGAAATATGAAATAAATCCCAGACATCTCAGCTTGAGAGTTTCCCCAAACCCATTAAGAAACAATGTCCCATAAAAATTAAACCACGCAGAAAACGCACCGCGGTTGACACATTTATTCTTTGCATTTCCACCAAGAGTACCATTTATCTGAAAAATCAATTTATAAATTATCAACTTCAGGAATGGTTTTCAATATTCAGTCGAAGTGATGCAGGAATAACACGATAGTACGTATATAATGCCGAAAACCCGACTACGATATTCCTTTGCCGAGATCTCAATTGATCTATAAAGGTCGCTCTAACGGCCGACGGTTAGTGAAACAATAAACTCCTTTTTGAGAATCAAAAATGCGCTAACAATAAAACCTAACCACATTCCTCTTGGCGTTGTTAGAAATACGACCGTGGATAACTGGATATTGGAACACATTACCATAAAATGCCTCCATATTTCCAAAAGAGAGTGAACACTTAGCTTTAGCTTAATAAATGTAGTGTCATGCATTTTTTTCTTGCACTAGTCTCGTCCAGACGAGGGAGTCGGGAAAGGGTTAGTCCACTCCCTCCTATCCACAATCGAAGCTCATTTATTAAAAAAATATAACATTTTTGTTAATTTCGTAGCAAGAAACAGTTTACTGTCTGCAGTTGCTTATAAAGTGTACGCAGAGTAACCCCTTAACGGAATGCGAAATTCTTATTGTAAATTACTCCTCAGAGGAAAAGTGGGACTGCTAACACCGTTCATTTACTACCACTTCCTGGTCCAACGTTACGCTTCCCGGCGTAACCCGTACACGCGAAACATGTTCCACGAACTAAGAATATTGTTAGAGTCGACAGCCGCCAAACCCAGTATGCCCGGCATCCTTCGTCAAATTCTACTGGGCGTTGTCGCCTTCGCGACAAAATTGGCGCCACCGCAAATGCCAGCGCAACCGTCGCCGACGGCGACGCAGTAAATACTTGTTAATAAATATATAGAACACATTCCTTTAGTTTCTGTTATTGGTGACTATTTTCGGTGTTTGTTAACTTGATCTTTTTTGTAATGTTAGTAGTATGTAATATGATGCACTCAAAAGTAATTTACGGACCAACATCATGGATAGTTTTTTTTTTTAAATTTGATTTCACACTCTTTATCACTGTTGGTGCTTAGTATTGCATCCACCGATATAAAGTTCTGCATTTTGTGACTGTTGTTAATTAGGTGAATAATTTAGTCTTAATTTACCGATTTTTAAATGCAATTTTTATCTTTTTTTTATTGGGTGGAATTTGTTGTCTCGGTATATTTTTAGAAGAAGAATAACGTCTAAGTATATAAAAAATGTAAATAAATGATTCAACATTTTGAGAATGCTACTTTGAATTTTAGCAGTTGAGGGTAATATTTTATAATTAAACTATCCTTTTCTTCCATCGCATGTACCATTAAATCCTTAACTTTGAAATGCATCACTGCTCATCGCTACCTATACCATTCCTTTAGTTTATCAGGTGATGATAGTAACAAGGAAGGTAACTCATAACATCTGTCAATCTCTTTCTAGCATCAGGAAGGCGCAATAACGTACGTTGGGCGCTACCTTCAAGTACATTTCAAAGGCCTCGTGGATCCTTTATGAAAGAATATATTGCCGTTTCCCTATGGTGCGTTCTCTGAAGCTGCGAACGCGCTATAGTTAATAGTTAATTGTTTATAAAATTTTAATAAAAATAATTTGACGTTTTTCTTCTGATTACATCTCATGTATTTATACATCTCTGGTTTCATTCGGCATTAGGTTATGGACCCAGAAGAGCTGTGAAATCGATTTTTGACAAGTGTCGGAATGGTAAAAAACATTAGGTTTGACAAATTGATATGAACATTCATAGTAACAGGACAGATTAATTGGTACCTAATGACTGCCAACCGATCTCATGGAACATTCAAGATCAATGTGAACTACAATTGTATGCTCGCCCAAAAACGATGAGCTGATTGAGTGGCATACGAGCTGTAGGGGGGCTTGAAAACAGTGCAAAAATCCGCATCAAATTCGATGGATCAAAAGAATTGATTAACGGATGCATTAGTTAATTGCGGCGAGGGCATCAGGCAGCCAAGCACCGAATTTCGCAAAAGAAAGGTCGAAATGAATGGGCATTCTCGTGCTGAACGAAAACACTTTTCGTTCAATATTGGCACGATCCTATTCCGGAAGTCGCTCGCATCTTAAGAAAAATATAAATTTTAGATCGACTGCTGTGAGTAATGGCCGTATATACCGACAAAATTTAAGCAAGGCTTAGCTTGAGCATAGCTTATAACCCATGGCAATGATTAATGCGACAATGGTTGCTATGGATTTTAAGCAGCCCTTGAACTAAGCTGCGCTTAAATTTGTCGCTAATTTACTAACAATTATTGTTTGAGAAGCACTGGCGACCATTGAATGATAGTTCAATGCTGGCGACTTAGTTTGAAAATCGCTGTTTTATTTGGTTACTTATACAGTGTTACCAACGGTGGAAGGTTCTTAATCGTTTACCCTAAATTGCAATTTTTCTCTGTTTCCTTTACATCTGTCATTGAAAATGGCGACCTCAATTTCAAAGAAACGCAAGGTAAACGACAAATTTTTAAATAAGCTTTACTTCGTCGCGTAAAACGTAAATCAAGGAAATTAACTTGAAAGCTTAAAAAACAAATTTGTTGAAAAAATTTCGTATAAAAGCTGTCGCAGCACCTAAGATGAATTGGATTATTTATTCACCGCCAATGTGTTTTTGTGAGTATCGAGACTAATTTTCGTTTTTAGTTTGTAGGAGATGGGGTGTTCAAAGCGGAACTTAATGAGTTCTTAACACGAGAGCTGGCCGAAGATGGTTATTCGGGGGTTGAGGTTAGAGTTACCCCGACTCGCACCGAAATTATTATTATGGCAACTCGTACACAAAACGTCCTGGGCGAAAAGGGTAGACGCATACGCGAGTTGACGTCCGTTGTCCAGAAACGGTTTCATTTCCCCGAAGGATCAGTCGAGTTGTACGCCGAGAAAGTTGCGACACGCGGTCTGTGCGCTATTGCCCAGGCTGAATCGCTCAGGTACAAGTTAATCGGTGGTTTGGCTGTAAGACGCGCGTGCTATGGTGTGTTGAGGTTTATTATGGAGTCGGGCGCTAAAGGTAAGTTCTCTTAGAGTAATTCCGATAGTAATTTGGGTGTTTTAGGATGCGAGGTCGTTGTTTCTGGCAAATTACGTGGACAAAGAGCAAAATCTATGAAATTCGTTGATGGCCTTATGATTCATTCGGGTGATCCCTGTAATGACTACGTAGACACCGCCACACGTCACGTATTATTAAGACAAGGTGTTTTAGGAATTAAGGTAATTGTCCCTTGGGTTTCTTAGTCTCCGTATGCTCATGCTGAATATTTGTAGGTTAAAATTATGTTGCCATGGGATCCCAATGGCAAGATTGGACCTAAGCGTCCTCTCCCAGATAATGTTTCGGTTGTTGAACCTAAAGAAGAAGTCCTCCCACAGCAACCCTTGAGCGACATTCGACCCGGAAAAGTTGACATGCAAGCTTCTGCGGTACCGGTCGCTTAAGTTGTATTTTATATTATAATAAATTAATATAAAAGGCCACGGTTATTATTAGATTTAAAGTAACAATTTTTAAAGTCTTGCTGGTTGTGGTATAGTGAGTGGTTAATATTTGTATTTTGGATTTGATTTTGAAATGTCACAATTAACTTTCATACAGTAGAAGTAGAGGTGAATTTCCTGTCTACTTTTACATGATCTCCTGAAAGACGCCTAATTTTATGCAACCAAAGTAGCCAGACCTTCATTTGTTTCAAAGTTATTTTGGTTGCATAAAATTAGGCGCCTTTCAGGAGACTTTTTATCATGAAAAAGTACATAGGAAATGTCTACTTCTACATGAATATCACTGTATATTAATGGGTTACTTTAAGGGCCTTAAGTTAAGGCTGGACAGTGCATGATGTGATGTGTCAGAACGGAGTATGTAAAGTTGCCTATTGTTAAATCAACGGTTCGGACAAAAATTGTATTCTGATGGAAACTTGCTCATTGTGAACACACAAAAAGTGCTACCATTGAACTGTACTACCTTTCTTATTCAAATGAAACTTGTAAACCCTGAAATTATTACAGAAATAGTGTCATGAGACTTGATGTATTGTGGGCTGCCTACCATCAACACTTAATTTTTGCGCTCTCAAGGTAAACCTTTGAGCCGTAAATCTATAGATGAAGAAAGAACAATTTCCAAAATTGCTATAAGTTCGTAATATTAATGTCTGATCAATAACGCCAGGAAAATTTGTTTCCTTTTTTCTATTTTAAAATATGACACCCTAACAACCTTCGACGTTTCCAAGGCTGGACAGTTCTGTGAAAACGCTTGATTTCGTTCCACGATCTCCGACTTCTAAATGAGATGCAGAAGGGGTCGAATATTCCTGTGAAAGGTGAATGCTTTAGCTGGACAATAACACCTTGGAAACGTCCGGGCTGTTAGGGTGCCGGAGGTTGGTACTCACAAAGGGCGATTGGGACGTCTCTAAGAAATATGTCTATTGGTGAAGTCTCCCCATTAATCATCTAACAGGAACGAAAACGTCGATAAATATAGCATGCTATACTATCTTATAACGCAACCATTTACTAAGCTATTTCGGTTTTAAAAAATGCGCTTTATCTTTGGGCACAATTTATACTTGTTTACATTAAGAGCGGGAACACGAGGTGTTTTTGAAGCGCTGCAGATTGGTACCGAAACATTGTGTTTTATGGACGTCTGCCGATCTTTTAAAAAATGGCGTCTAGTGATGTGGGTGGCCAACGTGGCAATATCGACATCGAGATATTGATTTGCAATTTGGAGAACTTCAATGAGATTTCATAATGAAAAATAATGCAGCGAATATTCCAGAAATCTCGATAGACATCAAGGCGTTATAAAAGGTGAGTCATCGGTAATAAAGAACGAAGGCGCTTGTGACGCAATCTTTCCGAGAAATATGACGTTGTTTGTTCTAGAACATTCTGAAGCGTCTTTGAGCACTGGAGCGAACATTCTAGAAAGAATGCGTTGTTTGCTTTATAAGCAAATCAAATTGTGTTTCGAGTTCAGTTCCACGCTGGAGCAAGCACTGATCACAGGGTGCCTTGGCACCCTGGACGGTGATGCTTTCGTAGCGTTTTGCAGTTGCCCCTGTAGCACCTGCTGGTATTGTTGTGGTGGTTGTATTGACGTACTCAGGTTCGGCAGGATTATTATACCCTCACCATTATATATTATTTACTCTATATGCCTTTAGAGAGGAAAGAGCCCCCCGACCTACCCCTTGCGATTAGGTTAGCCTGGTCCTTTTTCCCAATGCCGAAAACTATCAGCTTCCCTTGAGGTTGATCCTTCACGCGTATGTGAAAGAGACACCAGCTGCCAAGGAATTCTGCACCTCTAAGCGCCGCCTTACCGCCACCAGGTCGTCAGATTTCCCTGGGACGCAGGAGTCATCCGACTTCCGCCTCTTTTTCTCTCCGCTTGCCCGCCTGACCGGAGTTTCCCCGGATCAAGGCTGGGTCACGGGATGTGGATGGTTTGGAGGCTGTTCAGCGCCAGAGATGCGCTTTCGTGGTTTGGTGTGTTGAGGCTCAGTGATCTGTAACGGAGTTTGAGGGTATAATGGGACGCTCCTTCAGGTTTATTAGGTTTGCTTGTGTCGGTATCCATGACAGATCAGGGGTTGGAACTCATTCGAAATATAGGTTCCCGATTCTCCACTATTTAGGTAGAATTATTTTTAACAGTTCCGGTACAGGTTCCGGTTCTGTAGCGTCAGTAATTTTTGTCTTTTTTTTCGGTTTTTAAGGGTTCCAACATAAATAAATAAAATTATTATTAGTTATAGAAATTAAAGTACCTACGCATTATTCTCTCGATTATTCTATATTATATATTTGTCTCTTTCTACGTTCCTTTTGTTCAGCAGTATAGTTTCCACTATTGCTTTCCTCACACACTCTTCAACCCTCTTACTGTTTTTGATTCATGTGCGGTATTAATCTGTACTACACTCTACTCTAATATTTTATATTTGTTTAGTATCACGGTTAAGTTGGTCGTTTGCTACCTATACAGTGATATTCATGTAGAAGTAGACATAGGGAGTTCCTATACGAATTTCCTATGTCTACTTTAACATGATAAAAAGTGTCCAGAAAGACGCCTAATTTTATGCAACCAAAATAACTTCTTGAAACAAATCAAGATGGCTGTCATATTAATTATTAATTGAAATATTGTTGCTTTAGCTTTACAGAAAATAGCTCCTTTAACTGTTACCGGCATTATACCAATTGGAAAGATCAACTTTTTCTTCAGTTGAATAGGTACATCGCACACGAACGAAAATTAGAATACGGAAGTCAAAGCGATAATATTCAAATTAATTAATCTCACAGGCAGATTCTCATTTGTTGTAGGTAGTTATTTTTGTTGCATAAAGTTAGGCGTTCTTTAGAAGACTTTTTATCATTTCAAAGTAGACATAGGAAATCCTTGGGGGCTCTGTAAAAAGGCCCTGCATGGACTGTCTGAGTCCGGTTACTTGTTGACACTGAGCTTGGAATTGCCCAGTCGCTTTAATCCTGGCCCTGACAACGGAGGAAGCAATTCGCCTAGGGTAGGCTCCGGGCCCGACGAAGACCCCACCACTGCCTTTTCACAAGTATGGGACCCTCCGGAGCCTCTGCCTCCACAACTAAGTGTGAAGTGTCTAATGGCACCCTTGATATTGATATTTAAAAACGCCCTCCCGGCAGGCATTCGCTCTTTTCCAGCCTGCACATCAAGGTTGTGCGTAGAGCCGTCTCCGTGGACGTACCACCCTGTAAGCATGTTGGAACGGATGTGGTGGTCTAAGAACCAGTAGGTACCCTATTTCTTATGTATGCAACCACCGGACTTCTCCACCGTTTTTAGAAGAAACGATGACAGGCTGATGGGCCTGTAATCCTTCGCCATGTCGTCATTGGCACGACCGGGTTTGGTAGGTACAAAACCCTTACTTTTCTCCAGCTTTCCCCTAAAGCCAGGTAGGATCTAAAGAGGTAGAACAAGGTAAGAGCAGCGGCTCCACTTCCAGGCCCTTGAGCAGAAGAGCCGCGAACCGTTCCAAGATCTTTCTGGAAACTCCAAACGAGGAATTAGCATATCGTCCATCTTAAAGCTAAGTAGGATGCAGATAAAACTCGCTACAGAAATGGTCACAGGGTATTACTGTCGTTTGACCAAACACCTGCACAAAATGGGACTGATGGCTTTACAGCCCGTTGTGCAAGGGGTTGTGGCGAGGAAGACGAAATACCGCACCACGTCAAATGTGAGGCATACACCAAAGGCAAAGGGACTGAATGCCTACTTGGAAATGAAAAACATTGGATAAGAGGAAGTAGCGAGGGTCGCTATTAAAATCCTGGATATTGTATTTCGGGGTCCGGGGAGCACAAATAGACCAAAAGGTCAGTGCAACAGAAACCGACTGGGAGCACCTCTAGTACTATAATAATGATAATAATAAAGGTCCTAAAAGATTCTAGAGGGATTCTAAGATAATGCTAATAGCAGATTCTACGAAGACTCCCAGAAAATTCCAGGGATTGTAAACGTGTTGAACGTTTTCTAGACGTTCAGAAGATTCTAGGCCATTAAAACTTCCTACGAGATCCCAATGAGAGTCTAAGAAAATTGGATGATTGGAAGGGAACGTTTAGGGAAGATTCCAAGACGCTCTTTCACGTACGAATCACGGATTCGAGATATGTTACGCGAGGAGTTTGAGAATGGGATGGGATGGTGGAGTGGAGACGCTTTCTTAGTCCTTGTCTCTATTGACTGAATCCTATTTGCGGTTTGCCGTTTCCGCTTATATTAGATCATAGTGCGTAAATGCGTACAATTTTTTGACAAGAGGGGAATAATCAAAATGGACCCAAAGTAATAACTGATCAGTGAATGAAATCCGTCTTTAAAAACGCCAGGTGTGTACTAAATTTTGAGTTTTTACTGTTTTTAGTTGTGAAGGGTTGTTTTGTTTACAAATAATGCAGAACAAAATAATAATCAAATCCTCCATGACGTCGGGCGCATGCGCATTTGTAATGGGGTTACAGCTGTTTCCTAACAGCTCCCAGCTGATCTTTGTTCAACAACTGCAATCTCATTTCGAATTCTGATACCGAAGAAAGCCTTTTATTAAAGAGACAGGCAATTTCGCACGTTTCACCGCCGCTTTACGTAGTCCACCTAAATTAGCAATGGACGCAAAATCGAGTTGCTTTCAATTTTGATGAAAATTACGTCCAGCAGCTTTTGTGTGTACAACACCTTCCCGAAAACAGGTGACGTAATCGGATATTTACAATTACTATGCGCTCTCTCTACCTTTATTTTACGTAAATCTTCGCTATATTTAGATCGCGAAGTATTTAAATTGAGTACGATACACAAAGAAAACTGGATTAGAAAGTAAACATTTCAAAAATAAGTCTGGCCTCCACCAGCGAGTCATCGGGGGACGACGACGGTGGACAGCCGCCTCGTAAGAAATCCCGAAAAGACGACTGCGTTTTTATTGAAAACATGCAGGCCGCGAGCGCAAGTAACGGGTGCATCCAAAATGGAACGACGACCGCCGATATCTCGACGGAAAACGGCCACGACGACGTACAGCTCGTCAGTAACGGCGTGGCAGACGCGACGCCCATTGTTCCTTTGGACCAGACGAATCAGGACATCGTACGACTGATGGGACAGTATCTTAAATCCGTGGGATTAAAGTGAGTTCGTCGACGAGCGCAAACTTTCGGGGTAAACCGCTTATGCTATTTCAGTCGTACCGCCGAATCTCTTATGACAGAATCCGGATGTCGTCTCGATCATCCGGCCGCCGCAAAGTTTCGTCAGCACGTAATGGACGGAGATTGGAATAAGGCGGATCATGACTTGCACGAATTGAAATCGCTTTTGGGAGAGGCTAACAATCTTGTGGTAAGTAAATTGCTCCGTCTATGCTTTCTGTGTTACCCGCTTCTCTGGTTGGGAGGAAGAGGCTCGACTGTAACTCAAAAATGTGGCCTCAAGTGTCGACATAGTAGTTTTCCTCCATGCAATCAACTAGTTTAAATATATAATCCGATATTTACTTCCTGTACATTTAAACAATGGATTTTCCCATATCCTAAAGGAAAGGGGTGAAGGAGGGGGGGGGGCGAGCTGATAAATTTTTTGCTGAATTTTGAAAAGTACATTTTTTAACTATTAAGTGGACATATACAGAGTGTCCAATTATTAATTTGGAAATAGATCTTTGATAATTGAAGTTGCCTAAATTATTTCAATTTTTTAAATATTTGGCAAGTGGCCCTTTAGAAGCTAAATTGTCCTTTGCAATGCAAGCAAGGCATATTTATTATTTTATGCTTTGTGTAAGAGTAAAGCTTTACTCGATATGTAAAGAACTCAAAAAAATCAAAAAATGTATACAAGGTGTTCCAAAACTGATGTCAAAGTTCTCAGTTTTGAAAATGTGAAAGCTTCATCTTTAGGATTATAAGTAGGTACACCTAACATAATCCTGGGTACGAATAGAAAAATTGTTTTGAGAACTGGGTTCTCGAGGGGTGTTTCACTGGGCAAAGTTTTGTACTTGGTGTACTTCCTGTCCTGCCAGTAATTCTGTGTGTACTGCCAGGTACTACCAAGTCCTGTTTGCATATTGTTATGAGTTATGACCCACGAAACAAAGCACCATCTTATCCACTTTTTTTTTTAAATAAATGCAAACTCTATAAGGATACTATGTATATGATTAAAGCAGGCATGTCAAACTCATTTATTATCAAGGGCCATTTTAAAGTTTCCACTTATAGCTGCGGGCCATATCATAAAAAAGTTCACATAAAAAAATTTTGATATTTTATTATTCACAAAAAAGTATACAAAATAATACAAAAAAACGAAAAAATGCAAATAATCATAAAATCGTTAGTACGCGCTCAAGAAAATGTACCGTGTGTCCTATTTTGGTTGAAGCCTCAGTGTATTTCAGCTGTTTTTAAAGTAGTGGTAGAACGATACCGATATTGATATCGGTATATCGGCATATCGGCAATTGTTGCCGATTATCGGTATCGTATCGTATCGGCAAGGTAATTGCGCCGGTATATCGGCAAACAATTTTTTTAGCTGTTTTAACTCTTCAGTGCATAAATGAAATACTTTATTAAAGAAAATAAAATGTTTTATTCTAAAGTTAACATTTTTACTAAAAAAGTTAAAAAAAAAACAACAAAAAATATACCTAATATAGCAGGTTCTAAATACAGTATATACAGGGTGACAATTTGAAAACTTACCACCCCCCATATCTTAGTAAATAAACGAGATATTTAAAAAAATCAAAATCCGTTTCGGTAATTCGGAGGGGGAATCACAATGACATAGTTGGCGACGCACCCCCTCCAACCCCCTGCGCCCCAGCCACCCCAACTTTTAAATCTTAAATAGTGACCCCCCATGTGTGATACGTCGTTGGAAAGCTCTGAAAAAATGCTTTCCAACCATACCAAATAGCATTACATTTAGGTTAGTAATTATCGTGCAAATCAAAAAATAAACTAATATGATACATTTGAAATCTGTCGTATTTAAAACGCAACCGGCGAACATAGACGAACTAAGACAGAGAATAATTCAAGAATGTCGAAATATTGCAAAACCAACATTTGAAAAGGTTCGACAAGAGTTTGAGAATAGATTATAACTGGCGATCAAAAATGAGTTGCTGTCGAGTCGGCTTTGGAAGTTCAAGTTAAATACGATTTTCCATGTTTATTTTTTGATTTGCANGGGGGAATCACAATGACATAGTTGGCGACGCCCCCCCTCACCCCCCCTGCGCCCCAGCCACCCCAACTTTTTAATCTTAAATAGTGACCCCCCATGTGTGATACGTCGTTGGAAAGCTCTGAAAAAATGCTTTCCAACCATACCAAATAGCATTACATTTAGGTTAGTAATTATCGTGCAAATCAAAAAATAAACTAATATGATACATTTGAAATCTGTCGTATCTAAAACGCAACCGGCGAACATTAGACGAACTAAGAGAGAGAATAATTCAAGAATATCGAAATATTGCAAAACCAACATAGGAAACGTTCGACAAGAGTTTGAGAATAGATTATAACTGGCGATCAAAAATGAGTTGCTGTCGAGTCGGCTTTGGAAGTCCAAGTTAAATGCGATTTTCCATGTTTATTTTTTGATTTGCACGATAATTACTAACCTAAATCTAATGCTATTTGGTATGGTTGGAAATCATTTTTTCAGAGCTTTCCAACGACGTATCACACATGGGGGGTCACTATTTAAGATTTAAAAGTTGGGGTGGCTGGGGCGCAGGGGGTTGGAGGGGGTGCGTCGCCAACTATGTCATTGTGATTCCCCCTCCGAATTACCGAAACGGATTTTGATTTTTTTAAATATCTCGTTTATTTACTAAGATATGGGGGGTGGTAAGTTTTCAAATTGTCACCCTGTATATATACTTAATACTTAAAATTTAACTTTTTGATATTATGATGCAAAAACACTAACATTTCAGCCCTATCTGCATTTAGTCTATTTCTTTTAGGCTCGTAAATATTACCCAATTCACTAAAAAGTTGTTCACTTGACACACTGGCAGCGGGTGCTGAAAGGTAGACTGAAGCTGCGTTGTACAGAATAGGTAATTTGTTTTTTTCTGCCTTCCACCACTCAAAAGGGGTAGAGGCAATGATCTCAAAAGTTTTTGCTTGACCGTGTCTAAATAGTAACGCCATCTATTGTTTGCCGATACGATACGATACGATATATCGGCACGTAAATATCGGTATCGGCCGATATATCGTATCGGCAAAAAAAAGTGATATCGTTCTATCACTATTTTAAAGAAAAGAGACTTGCGGTTTTCACGATTCTGCGCCACTTTTTTGTGAAACTTAATACCACAAACAGAATCAATCCAACTACGTTTGTTTCTGAGGTCTGAGATATAGGGTGAATATGAAAAATTGGACTTCTTGTGATGTTGTCATATCTGACTACCCATGTAAGATAGAAAAAAGGTAAAAACTGTCTATTTTAGGTATTTTTACATAGAATCCAATGACGTAGTAAAGAAAGTTTGGACAACCGTTTCTGAGATTTGACCCAAATTTGATATTTTTGTTTGCATTCTTTTTCGTGATTACATTAATGTATCATCCTGTACTTATTTACCATTTTTCAAAATGAATTGACGTGTAACGTCAGCCATTTTTGTTAATTGACATCAACTGCTTTAGTTACAATGGATACAATAAACAAAACAAAATCTCCATGAATCCATGGCCTACTATTCAAAGAAGTAAAAACTAAGGTTTTTATTGTTTCATCGCTAAAATTTAAAAAAAAATAGGTTGTGATACATCAATGTAATCAGGAAAAGGAGTGATAAGAAATTAACGTTAAGATATACAGAGTGTTGCATTTACTAAATAACAACTTTGGCTCAAACCTCAGAAACTTTTTGACTTCACCCTGTATCTCAGAAATAAACGCAGCTAGATTGGTTCTGTTTGTGGTATTATACGTTTCACAAGTCTATCTTTAAAAACAGCTGAGATACACTGCAGTCTCAACCAAAGTAGGACACACGGTACAATTAAATTTTATAATTTACAAAAATCTTGTTGGGCCGCAGGTTTCAGAACGGGGGCCGCGTGTTTGACATGCCTGGATTAAAGGAACATCTAATTCCTTGCATTTGTTATTCCAACAGTGCCTCGGTCTTTCTTAGCCCATCGTAAAGATCAAGGTAAAGAAATCTTATATGCAAATGTCAACTGTAGATGGTTGCGATCTACAGAAATTATTTTTGAATGTACAGGGTGTCTCATTTTAACGGTGTAAATAAATGATTTTTAAAAAATATAACACCCTGTATATTCTTAGTTGTCATTTGTTGACCTCTACAATCTACATTCAAACCCACTCATATTTTGATGTTTTGTCACTGTTGCCATCTTATTAATTTTTTTCTGAATCGTAGCTACCCTGTTTTTTGAAGTTCAGAAATAAATTTGAGTAATAATATTAATCCCAGTAAAGGGCAGCATTTTGGTAATGAGAAAGTTGGATTTAGTGATACAGGGTGTTCACAATGAAATGGTAAAAATGCTATTTTTTTCAAATAATAAGTACCACAATTTGTTTAGGTATGGTGACCCGCATAATGGTCTTTTGTGCTCTCTTTTAGAAGGAATGCCCTCTTAGTTTTTATGTTATTAAGTATTTTTCACAAAAGTACCTACCCATTAATGAATTACATGTTTATGCACCGGAGTAGGCTGTGATAATAAAAATCAAAAGAATAAATAAGTGCTGCAAATGTACTCCCTATATCGTAGTGTAATAAGAACTACAAGGTTTAGATACAGGACGTTCCTTATAAACTTTGAAGAGAACACACGAATAGCAAAATAAACTTGTGGTATTTCTGTTTGAAAAAGATAGTTACTTATGGCACTTGGAAAAATTTGAAAATTTACCATTTCATGGTGAACACCCTGTATCACTAAATCCAACTTTCTCATCATCAAAGTGTTACCCTTTACTTGGATTAACATTCTTGCTCAAAATTGCTACCATTTATAAAAGTGAGGCTTGTTTATAAGGAATTATCCGGAAAAATAATTATTAAGATGACACCATATAATATAAAATATACAGGGTGTTCTATTTTAAAAAAATCAGTTATTTATTTGCACCGTAAAAATGGGATATTTTGTACATTCAAAAGTAATTTCTATAGATGCACAACCATCTGACATTTGCACGAAAGGATTTTTATATTTTTAACCAGGTATGAGCTAGGAAAGAACGATGCACTGTTGCAGGACCCTGTATTTATTTATCTTGAAACGATTTAATAACTTGTAGGATCATATGTTTTTGGAAAAAAGTGTCATAAGTACAACAGTTGTATAATTCTAAGGGCGCTAATCGGTAGTCACCTTGAGGATGACCTTGATTTCCAAATGTCCCTAATCTTTCCTAACGTAATCTAACAATAAATCAATTATAATAGAATGCGATTATTTAAACAAAAATTAAGCATGAAATAACTTAATATAAATCAACAATTCAAATAATATTTATTTATTTATTTATTATCCCTCTCTTGTTCTGGGCCCTCAACAGGCTTGCGCCCAATTGCAGAGTGACCCGCATAATGCTTTTTAAAGGTGCCTCTGCAGAAGGTCTTAAGTAGAACGTAGAATTCAAAACTGCATTCAAATACAGGGGGTTCTATTTAAAAAAAATGTACCATTTTGGCGCCCTATTTTGTGGGCGCACCCTGTATAATTCTAAATATTTTTAAAATGAGGTGAATATTCAACCATATCATAATACAAAAGCACTCTATTGAAAAATGTTATCTTCAAGGCATTAAGTTGCTCCGTGCAATCGTTGACTCACCCTGTACAGGCTGGACTTACTGAATAGCCTCAAAGACAATTTTTGTTCCTTATCTGAATATGCTTGTCTAATCGTACCTAAGGAATACAATTGATTGGGGATGGTGCACATTATTTTCAAAATTCGAATATATGCCATTTGTATAGTTTGTGTAGTAGTGTGGTTTCAGCACCTACAGTAATGTTGGGTCAACCTGTATATTTAATTTCAATTGTTTTTTGAACGCAAATGTCGTCGCCAATAATTATTATACGTCTTCTAGTATAAGAACAGTCGCAGGTAGTCGCCTACTGTAAAACTTGTGTCTTTTCTTCGCATGGACTAGATAGAGATGAAAATATAAAAGCATAATTTGTGTACAAATCATATGCTACTAATTTTTCAGTGCAATTGCGAAGAGCAATTCGAGGTCAACTTTATTTTGTATCTGAATTATTTAACGTTTTTAATATTGTTTAATTCGTTTATTTTATTTTTGTCGACATCTGGAATTGTTTGCGTAGTTTTGTTAAAGTTATCTAATTTAAATCTGGGTTGCAGCGATAAGAAATTTCGTGATCGTTGCGAAAGGTAATTAGTTTCAAGATAGGACGTGTCATCGCCGTAGTTTAACACAGGTGCAGATCATTTTAAGACTACACATTAAAATATTAATTTGCTTTCGTCTTCTAAATTACAAGAGCATTCGGATACAACAAGGACAATTGAAATATCTTGATGGCAAATGTTGCAAACGGATTAATTGCAGTTTTATTTACGGTATCCAGGTACTGTGTTCATCTACAGAGTGTTCACTAAAACGGGTAAACGTGATTAATGAGCGCATGCGCAGGTTATGCAATATCATCAACTTTTGTATTTTTTAATTTATTTTGTTAAAATTTTAACCACAGATACTTCTGTTAAAGACAAACATATCTCATATTGTGAACTTAGAGGCGCAGTGCCAACTTAAGCTTATTTATGAAGATATTTGTTTGACGTTTTAACCATCTAGTAAAGAAAAACATAGCTATGGTCTTTTCGGAAGTACTGATTAATCCATGGAAAATGTGCCCTAGGGAGAAAACCTTTGTACATATTTTTTTGGTACAGTAATTGCGCCTCTTGCCTGATCCATCACTCAACACTTTTGTCCGTGATACCTCTTTCTTTTGCGGCGATTGCGTGATTCTGTCATTCCAGGTTTTTTCTTGTGTGCTGCACTTGTCTCTCATTTTTCATTCCAGATGATTTTTACCTCCTTTAATTTCCTTTACTAAACGAGTCCTCAATTTCGCACTTTCATTAATTGATATTACCTTAGGAAATGAAATTCTTAATACTGGAGCAAAAGTATTTAGAATACCTCGAAGACGGACGCGTTCTGGACGCCTTGCACGTACTCCGAAACGAGTTGACGCCGTTGCAACATAACACGGTGCGTGTACACCAACTGTCTAGCTACATGATGTGCTCGAGTACTCAGGAATTACGCTCTCGTACCAACTGGTAAGTTAGTGATTGAAACGAACGTGTAACCGAAATGTTGATTTGCAGGGACGGAAAGGGCACCAAATCACGTGGCATCCTAATGGATAAACTTCAGGCGTTTCTTCCGGCAAGTGTCATGTTACCTCCGTGCCGTTTACGGTCATTGCTCAATCAGGCTTTAGAGTTTCAAACTTTACGCTGCCGCCACCACAATACCTCTCAGGATACTGTCTTTACAAACACGTCGCTTCTCATCGATCATTGCTGTCCCAAAGATTCTTTTCCCACCCACACTATACAAGTAGGTAGTTTTGTCTAGATACTAAAAAAAGTAGTTCTGGTCTAGCAAACCCAGTTGGCGTTACTGTCTAGATAAGAGACAACCGTTGTTTCTTTTTGTTAGAAGTGTCTAACTATTGTTAGTACAAGATTCCACATAAGGTCATCCTTTGCTCATCTGTTTACCAAGGGAAATACATTTTTTATCAATCTTGGTATGTAAACAAAACACATTACAAATGGGTTGTCTACAAAAGTCAAGAGTACCCTGAATTAAAATTAATGTAATTCATATTTCTGTCTGTTTCCCATATGCAGAGAGCTATTACGCTCCGTCCTTCTCTTCCACACGGAAAAATACACATACAGAAATATTAATTAAGGGTAGTCATGACTTAATTTTTGAGGCAACCCATTTGCAATGTGTTTTGTTTACATCTCACAATTGCTAAAAAATGTATTTCACTCGGTAAACATATGAGCAAAGGACCTTATGTGGGATCTTAGACTAGTACTAAATTAAGCATTTGCTTTTGAAGGTTTTAAATGATCACTGTGACGAAGTATGGTTTTGTCAATTTTCCCCCGACGGTATGAAATTAGCGACCGGCTCGAAAGACACCAACGTTATCATATGGGACGTCCATCCGGAAACTTGCACCATCACACCTAGGAAAACCTTAGAGGGCCATTCGTATGGTAATCGATTTCTCGTTGTTGTCGAGGTATTTACCAGTAGGTGCTTGCAGGAGCGGCGTACATGTCGTGGAATAGCGACTCGACGCATTTAATTGCCTGCGGTCCGGAGGAGAGTCCCGAAGTTTGGCTTTGGAATATTGAGACCGAGAAATGTTTGAAAGTATCGCAGTCTCCTGAAGATGTATTAACTTGCTGTGCTTGGAATAAAGATAATAATAAGTTTGTGGTATGTATCTAATAAGCGCATACTGGAATGGATGCGCAATCCTAAAATGTTATACAGGGTGTCTCAAATTGAGTAGGATAAAATGGCTATCTTTGTTACTATTATACTTACAGATTCAGTTAAATTGGTAAAGCTTTATTTATTTTATTTTTATTTTTATTAAATATCCATGATTGAACCAGGGACTCCTGGTCCAGCTTCAACTGAACTGAAAAGTTGTGTAGTTTTTGATGTTGATGGATATTCTGAGGCGATATTTTGAAGAAAATAAATTGTTTTGTAGATAATTGAAAAAAAGTGAAAATCGCCATTTTTAAAAAGTTCAAATATTTTAGTAACAAAGAGTGCTATCAAAAAAGTTTCAAATAAAAGTAGCAAGATTTGCTGAGATAAATAAATTCAATGGACATAGAACAAAAGTTATCAAAACGGCGGTTTTTGAGATCTTCCTTATTTTAAATGGACGCCATATTGGATTTTTACGTAACTCATTTGGGAAACAACCTTCCATTTTTGCCTTGAAATTTACAATGTATTTCTTATGGCAGTAATGCCATGGCCGTGTCGATGATGACTGTGCAAGACAATAAACAAATGCATTTGGTATCAATCACAATCAGCCATGGAATTATTGCCATAAGAAATAATGTTAATTCCCAAATGAAATACTAGGTGTTTAGTACCACTGATTTTGTAATGGCGATTTTCACTTTTTTCCAATTTTTTCAAAATATCGCATCAGAATATCCATCAGCATCAAATACTACACAACTTTGCCAATTTAACCGAATCTGTAAGTATAATAATAACAAAGATAGCAATGTTATCCTACTGAATTTAAGACACCCTGTATATGGCGTCCATTCCAGTATATTTGTAGTTCACCGAATTAGGGTAAATGTCTGCTAAAATGAACGTTTTAGGTTGGCGGTATTCGAGGTCATTTTTACCAATGCGATATGGAAGGGAATATATTGGACACTTGGGAAGGTGTCCGCGTTAACTGCCTTTGGTGTAGACAGGACGGTAAATCCGTTCTCGCCTCCGATACGCATCATCGAATCCGTTCTTATAATTTCGACGAACTTTGTGATAATAACGTGTACGAACCTAGTTCGAGAGACGCAAGTCGACCATTTAGTACGTTCCATTTTTAGGTTGCAAGAGGAGCATCCGATTATGGCATTTTCTGTTGACCGCAATGATCGATTGGCACTTCTGAATGTCGCGACGCAAGGGGTTCACCTGTGGGACTTGCAGGATCGGTGCTTGGTACGTCGTTTTCAAGGCGTGACCCAAGGACATTTCACGATACATTCGACGTTCGGTGGCACCAATCAAGATTTTATAGCGAGCGGAAGCGAAGACAATCAAGTAAGTTGATTTATTTTTTTCATCATTTTTGAAGTGTTTGGTTTCTTCCAAAATTTTGGAAAAAAATGACAGTTGCCAAAAACTTCGATTGTTTTTAGGCAGAGCCTCCTTATTTGGATGATCTTGGTTATTTTAAGAAATAGGATGTTGATTAATTGGGGCATAAAAATTAATTTTGGTTCCTGAAAGTTTATCTTCAGGTTCGAACAGTTCTGTGTGTCCTATTTCGATTCCCTGGGTCACTTTTTTGTGAAACTTTTAATACCAAAAAACAGAATCAATGTAGCTACATTGGTTTTTGAGATACAGGATGAAAACGAAAAGTAACTTTTTGAGATATCATCATGCCTTACCCATTTAAGATAGAAAAAAGGTAAAAACGGCTGATTTTAGATATTGTTATGTAGAATCTCAGGGCGTAGTAAAAAAAAATTTGGGACCATCATTTCTGAGTACTTCTTAAATGCACCACCCTGTAGATTTGAACTTCAATTTTTTTCATTTTTTTTCCTGATAGGTATGTACAGGGCGATTGCGCGGGCGGATAAGATGAAGATAAGATTTTTCGATAGATTACTTTTGTATTATTTTAAAAATATTTGGAATTATACAGGGTGCGCCCACAAAGTAGGGTGCCAAAATGGTACATTTTTTTAAATAGAACCCTTTGTATTTGAATGCATTTTTGAATTCTACGTGTAATTGTACATCTTTTTTATTATATGGTTAATATCCGAAAAACTAGTAGTTTTAAAGATAATTCGATTTTTAAGTAAACTTGGGCATTTGCAAGCGTCAGTATATATTGTCAAAATTATTACTTAAATTTTAATTCCAAATTTTATATCTTTTATCCTGGGTTAAGTAAAAGTCAAATAAATACATCTACTATGAAACATTAAAAAAAAATAGCTTACAGGGTGTTTTTTTTCTAGAGCCAAAGTTACAAAACTTGAAGTTAAAAAATGCTCACTTTTTTTAAATGGAACACCCTGTATATTTTTCTGTCATCTTTTAGTTCCTCCAAAAACCTTCAACTTTTGATAATAATGTCCTATCTCTGATAGTTTTCGAAATATCTTGGTTTTCCTGGTGTTTATATTCTAATGAGATCTTTTCAAAACTATCCGAGATAGGTATAGGGCATTATTATCAAAAGTTGAAGGTTTTTGGAGGAACTAAAAGATGACAGAAAAATATACAGGGGTTCCATTAAAAAAAAGTGAAATTTTTTAATATGAAGTTGCTTTGGACCTACCAAAAAAACACCCTGTAAGCTATTTTTTTTAATGATTTATAGTAGATGTATTTATTTGACTTTTACTTAACCCAGGGTAAAAGATATAAAACCTGGAATCAAAATTTAAATAATAATTTTGACTCATATACAGGGTGATTCCTATAGTACCTGCCACCGTTTGGGAGCGTGTAGGTGGTGCGTAGGGGAGTATTTTGATATAGGACACTTGGGGTCGGAAATCTAAAATAAGGGTGCCAGAGCCAAATTTACCTTCTGGAATTTCGCGCCTGTAGGTAGGCAACCCAACCGGCCGGCGGTGCACACGGAGCGATCTCAGGCGGCGATGTGTGGCTGACACTTGATCAGAGATTTTGTTTGAACCCACAAATCCGTCGCAACGCCGCGTATGCAAGTGAATAAATCACTATGGGCAATAGTAATGATAATAGTTGGCTAGATGTAGGAAGTGCATTGGAGACAACGGGGGCCACGTTGAACGACTTAGTAAACGTTATTGCTTTTTGACTGTCGTTTTCCCTCCTTCCCTCCCATGTCTGCTTCATTCGCCTAACTCGCTCTGCATCGGCTCCGCGCGAAACGTCGGTCGGTTGGGGTTGGCCTACTAATACAGCAGTGAAGATTCCAGAAGATAAGTTTGTTCTGCGCGCCCTATTTTTAGATTTCCGACCCAAGTGTCCTATATCAAAATACGCCTAGGCACCTCCCTAATACGCTCCCAAACGGTGCAGGTACTAATAGGAATGCACCTGTATACTGTACTCTTGCAAAATGCCCCAATTTTCTTACAAACTCTGATTACTACATAAAACTACTAGTTTTTTCGATATGTAAGCCTATATCGAAAAAATCTTATCTGTCAAGGCCATTAGTATTCCGCGCAAGTCGTTGACTCACCCTGTACACAGGCACAACCACCCACTACACGAAAATCTTGTGATAATTGTACTGAAAAGGAACGTTGAAGTTCGGTTTCCTGTGGATGTATTTTCACACCCCCAGATCCCCCCCCCCCCCCCCCCAACCTTTAAAACTTTTAAAGACTAATCTAGAACGCTCTTTAAGATTCAAAGGGAATTTGATATTATTTTCTCAGGTTCATGAACTTTCTTAAAGATAAATAATGGTTTCAAGAGCCTCTGGGGGGACTTTTGAGTACTTTTAGAGAGTAACTCAAAGCCCTCAAAGGTTCATAAACGTTTCTAAAGGCTCAAAGACTTACAGGTCCAGATTATTAAGTAAAGGAGTGAATCTGAAGAACTCTGGAAGATTTGCTGCTGTTTAAGGCCTTACCCAAATTATAAGCACTTTTCAAAAATTCCCGTAAAGCCTATTAGTGGCTTTGAAAGGTCTATAACGCGTTTGGAGGCTCCTGGAAAACCTTTGGTGAAGTTCCCGAGTCCTTAGATGAAGTAAGACTGTTGGACTAAAGTATGAAGAAAGCTCCTCTTCGCTCATTTGTCGCCAAATTAACAGCTGAAATCGAAACAGATCTGTACAGGGTGTTCCAAATTGCGTGTTTTTGATGTTTTTCGGTGACATTTTTCGAACTACTTTTAGGGAATGGTCCTAGAGTCCTGGAACTTTCCCGTGCAACTCTTTTTCGAAATCATTGAGCGACGAGGCTTGAGGGGGGGTTAAAAATTAACTTTATCTCTAATTGTACTCTAATGAAATGTCTCAACGAAAGAAACCGTTTTCTACCAACTACTGCCCTTCTTTCTGTCCTCTTATCAAAGTACGGAGGGGTGGGGAAGGGGGGGGGGGGGGGGAACTAGTTTCATCCTTCATGGTACTCTAATGAAAGGTCTCGACGAAAGGAATTAATTTCTACCAACCATAGCCCTCCTCCTCGACCTCTTACCGTGATCGGGTATATTCCATTATATCCCAAGAATGGATTGTCGGAAGAGGGTACTCTCAAAGGGCGATCTGCAAGAAATATATCCATTGGTGATGTCAAAACAAAAGCTATTTCGGTTAAAAAAATGCGCTTTATCTGCACAAGAGCACAATTTATACTTGTTTGTGTTTGTTATTTCAGTTCGTATATCTTGTGTTTGTAGTAACTGATATCAGTATGTAAATAATGGCATCCAGAACCGAAATAGAAGTTTAAACCTTTAAAGTCGTTTGTAAATAAATAAAGGTTTTGACATCTTTTGTATTTTGGTCACCCAAAATACACATGTACCATTTCTTATGCATCAAGGAATAGAGTTTGGTCTTTTTCCCAAGAAAATTGATGCGTAAATAACATGACATCTTTTGGCTACAAATATTTTGGGCACCAAAAATGCATATGGATCACTTCTTGGGCATCTAGGAATAGAGTTTGGTCGTTTTCCAAACAAAATGGATGATTTGACCAATCTTGGGCAACAACTTGGTGGATACTAGGATGCGAAAGCTAATTTTTGATAGTTGCACACCTGGAACGTATAAGCTTCCATATAGCGAAAACCCAAAGTCGATATGAGGTCTAGGTACTAGGGAGTGAGCTATTTTAGCCAATATTGTGTTTCCTAGCGTAACCAAGATCTGTAAGAGGAAAAATAGACACTATACAACAAGAAACCAAACTAAACAAATTGACCATGCCAAATCAAATTTCTTATGTTTTTAATATCGAGATACATAGCAGATAGATAAGGATACTAATGAAAATGTTACAGGTTTACATTTGGCATATCAGAAATGAATTACCGATAGCGACGTTGCCCGGCCATACACGAACCGTTAATTGCGTTGCCTGGAATCCTGTACATTGCAATATGCTGGTGTCCGTTTCGGACGATTGCACGATAAGAGTGTGGGGTCCAAAAGATAAGGTGCCTAAGCCGACAGGTGGTAATTGTGCGGTAGGTCGGGGCGTTTTTATTAACGGGGAAAATTGCAGTGTCTTCATCCAGCAGCGATTCCAGCAATAACAGTAGCAGCACTTGGAACGACATGGTCTCATAGTGCCAATAGTACAATTGTTTTTAGAGTTTTTTAATTAACCAAACAAATTCTGACAATTTTATTGATTGAAAGGTTGTAATTTAAGGTGTAGAATATAACTGACGAGATGTATAATTTAAGTATTGCATATCTGTACATTTTTTGTGACGAGTGTAATTTGCGCAACACGAAATTTTACTGAGCATGTACCTACCTACTCTTGGTTGTAATCGATCGATGTGGCAACTTCCATATTACTATGTCGGTATAAAATTTATTCGTTAAGGAAATTTTTATACTCTAATTTATGTGTTGTTTATATTTCATTTATAAAAATATTTATGGTAGAAATAAATGCAATTTATATGGCGGATTGTAGAAATGAAAGGATTTTGGATTAAGATAGGAGGGTGAACTACCTCCCTGACTGGAAGGGGAGGCGTCTCTAATCGTAGCCATGTCCGACTAGGACACCTCCAACGTGGATAGTCTCAGTTGGATTAGACCGGGACATTCACAAAGTGTATGGTGTGCCATCTCTTGGTCTGTGTAACGTCCTCTAGAAAGGTGGGAGAGCTGACTGGATCATAAAACACCTGGTTTGAGGTCAGTCTGGCTAGCTCATCCCATTTCTCATTAACTTGCGTTCCAGAGTATGCCCTTTGACCCATGCGATCTTAAGGGTGTTGTTGCTTGCTACTTGCTCTATGCGTGGTGACATTTGGAAACCATCCTAGAGGTAGTTTTACAGTGACCAAGTGTCTGCGGGGCGCACTGCTGTAACTGGAGATTCTGATAGATTTGTTCTTTATGTTATGCACAAGAACTTTTCTTGGAATGCAGTAGGAAGTTTGCCTAATGGTTTGGTGGTATGGAAGTTCAGTTCTTTGGAGTAGGTAAATACCAGTGCATGTTCCTTCCATTGTTTTAGATCCATCTGTGAAGATGAATATGTCGGGTTAGGATGTTAGAATAAAATATTAGTGAGGTTAGGTTAGAGTGACAGTTAGGTTAGGTCAGAAATCTTGTATCAGGAGAATATAATGTGCGAGGAGATTGAAGGTTAGAATAAAATATTAGTGAGGTTAGGTTAGAGTGATTGTTAGGTTAGGTCAGAAATCTTGTATCAGGAGAATATAATGTGCGAGGAGATTGAAGGTT